TAAACACACAAATACACTAGAAAAAAATATTTTTGACTTTCTAACAGAGTGGGAGGTGGAAGTGCAAATTTATCTAAATATTAACCAAAATGAATGTAGTGGATATTTTGCCGTTTTGTTTGCCGGTAATGGACGATTAGCCAATCAGAGCGCACTCACGGTAAAATAGCGTTTGTAGGATTTTTAGTTGGTTACGGCAATATATCAACTACGTATCACTTATAATTACCTGTTATGATGTGCTTCCCTCAGACCTTCCTATGTCCAAGGTTTGAAGTCTAGGCTCTAGAAATCCGAGATAACCATGGTAGCTTTCTTCTTTCACTTATTAATGTCTTGCTTTCCTCTCCCCGAGTTGGTATCGTGGGTATTCGATAAAAGGAAAGACTGGGGTGCTTACTGGTTTCATTTCCACAACCCAGAATGCAACAAAAGTGTGGCATCGCTGTAACAACTACTACAAAAGCCACCAAACCACTATAAGTAATATAAAATGAGCCACTTGTTTACAATCTCGGCTCACATAATCACCGGGTCACCCACAATGACCCTGAATAGTACCGTCAGAGTATGATGACACCACAACATATACAGTATATCACTTCTCACTCTTTGATTTGTTTTCCATTTCTGTATTTATTTTTTCCCTTAGACCGGGCTACGAATTTGTTTTCCTGAGGAATTAATAATTTTTTCTTCTGTAATATATATGATTTTTTTATTAACTCCTTTAGTATATATCAACAGATAATGTATAGTATAAATGGATTGTAGTAATAAATGACTTGCGAAATCAAAATGGGTCCCTTGACTGCTGTGGAAACCCCAGTTTGATGTAGAGAGACTATTTTCTAAATTGAATTTAATGAAAACAAAACCCAGAAACGCTCTGCAAACTCACTCTAATTCATTAATAGCCTTGTCTGAGGCTGTGAAACTCCAGGGTGGATGTATAAATCTTACACCAAATCAGAGGATGCTAACTTCTGTTTGATATTTTTTGTTCAATTAGTGCTTAATGCTCCCATGTTAGGTTATAATATTATATGGTTGTTGGGTTTTTGTATGTGCATATTTATATTAAACTAATGGGCCAGTGAAAATGGCATTATTTACCCAAATATGTCGTTTGGCCAAGACATTACCTACATTAATACCAAAAGAAAACGTGAGGAAAAATTAAGTCAGAGATGAGGATTAAACGACGCCTACTGGAAGAAAGAATTCGTGCTGGCTAGGTTAGGTTGTATTAGTATCTATTACGTTAGGATATGCAATGTTAAGCCAAACATGAATGATCGCCTCTTAATCTCTCTTTCTTGTGGAGTGTACAGTGGTGCCGCCTTTCAACTCGACCATGCCCCTGCCGCTTGTTCAAAATGGCTGAAGCCCTCAGGAAAAAATATTCGCGGCCGGGCCTGGCAGACCCGATGTGGGTTGATGACTGCCTGGGTGGACTAATTCCCGTTAATAAATAAATAAATAAATAAATGCGACCTCTAAACGCCAACTTCTAGTCTCTCAGACTGATGTTGGCTTGGTGGAGCTTCTGAATTCTGGTCACTCTCATCAGCGGCAAGTAACAACACCTTGGTGGAACACAGGCAGACTCAACCAAGGAGGTTTAAATTGGTGGAGACGACAATGAGGCGCGCAGAGTGACGCCAGCACGGGCTGGTGGCCGCCAGATTGGTAAGGGGTAGGGTACGAGCGCTGCGCCAGTATGCGAAGTGCTTTGCCATGAAAATCAGTGTACGATCCTGTTATTTCATAAATGGTGTATAATTTAGTCTTTATTGTAAGGCGTCACATTAAAAATATAATTGTATTACAAAACTGACTTCATTTTATTTGCCCCTACCAATATGGCGGCCACTAGCCCACGCTAGCTTCACTCCCTATTAGGGATGGAAATTTCGGTTCGAGTAGTACTCGGTTTACCCAGTACTTGAATTTGATTACTTTTCGCTGTGTTTATGAACATAATGGCTATATCTTTCCAATTATAAAGTAATCATAATATGGAAACCCATTTTCTGTGTATTTTTTATCCTTTAAAGTTTAAAGGATCCCCTTATAGCAACAGGAGCACATATTCTATTATGACAGCAAGTTATTGACCTTATTGTAGCTTTGTTATTTCTATTATATCTTCAACAAATAGTCTAAGCATGATGTATTGTTTTCCAACATAAACAATTATAGGCAGATGATTACTCACAAAGAATTCATATACTTCATCGATGTTGAACCAAATAATTATCTTGTGAGCTCTAAACCAAAGAATTAAAGCTCACAAAAGCTATCTATCAGCTGTTACTATGAACTTGACCTGTACCATTTACTTCATGATTTTAAACTCGGATGAAGTATACAGCAGCCTACTTCAGAGCTTCAACCAATGGAATTCGTATCTATTTTAAAACTGTTTTGATAAAATTAAAATGTAGGTCTGTGATGCACACAACATGCGAAACAAGCAAATTATGAAACAAACAAGCAGGACATGTGCACTTGATATTCGGAGTAATTCTGAACAGACGGACGCTCGCCCCACAAGGGGTCACAGCTCAAGATTGAAGAAGCCGCAAGTCCAGAAAACTGTGAGGGCAAACTTTTTTGGAGTGAGGGTTGTAAACTCTTGGAACAATCTACCAGAAAGTGTTGTGACGGCACAGGAATGTGAGCTCTTTCAAGACAAGACCTGACCAACACTGGAGCGGGTTCAGGTACATTCAGGAGCCGGTGCATGCCCAGTATTTGCCAACAGTGCGTGACAGAGACGTGACCGATCGCCCGGGCGGCTAGCGAGCCGATCTTTTGGTGAAAAAGATAAATGAAAAGGAAAAGTAATCAGAGACGTGACCGATCGCCCAAGCGGCTAACAAGCCGATCATTGGCGAAGAGGATAAAAGTAAAAAGTAAAAGTACTTGCGTAACAGAGACGTGGCCGATCACCCAAGCAGCTAACGAACCGATCAGTGGTGAAGAGGATAAAAGTAAAAGAGGTTAATAGTTGTTATTTTTTGCAATACAAGAACGTCTTAGTACAATACTGCATTGAAGAAAAAGTATTGGAATTTTCTGATAAAAAGGGGTCCAGACCCCAGGAACCCCCTGGATCCGCCCCTGCCTATATAATATGAACTCCGATTAAAAGTTCGACTTACACTGGAACAAGTTCAGATACAGTTGCAGACAAATTTCGTAAACACTCGGCAATACTGTATCTGGCATCTACTTCTGGCTCATATAATATATTGGCAGGGGCGGATCCAGGAATATCAAAAGCGGGGGGGGGTCCAAGAAGAACTTTTTGGGTAGGCGAATATGGCGAGCACAGCGAACCCACCCAGTTGGTGGAGGCCCCCAGAAATATTTTGAAATCTGTCCAATATCATAGGCATTTTGAGGCAGGTTCGAGCACAGGATCTGTCAGATGGAGGCTGAAAGCTTGCAAAAAGGGCACCATCCCCTGAGGGAGGAGGAGGGGAGCAAAGCAAGCCTTTACAGCTGGGGGCCCAGGTAATTTTTTGGAAATCTGATCTATTTGAGGGCCATTTTGAGGCCATTTGCAGTTGTGTGAATGTCCCTTGAATTTTGGTGAGCTGTATTTTATAATTTTTAAATGAAATTATAGTTAATATGCAATAAAAATAACATGCATATATCACTGACCACGGTCACACATGTTGGTTAACGTAAAATCAGTTGATTCATATAACGCTCAATAGCCCACTGAGACGTCCGTTTTCTGTCACCAGCTTCAGTTTACTTTTACTTACTTACTTTTATCCTCTTCACCACCGATCGGCTCGTTAGCCGCTTGGGAGATCGGTCACGTCTGTTACGCACTGTTGGCAAGTACTGGGCATGCACCGGCTCCTGAATGTACCTGAACCCGCTCCAGTGTTGGTTAAGTCTTGTCTTGAAAGGGCTCACACTCGGTGCCGTCACAACACTTTCTGGTAGATTGTTCCAAGAGTTTACAACCCTCACTCCGAAAAAGTTTGCCCTCACAGTTTTCTGGAATTGCGGCTTCTTCAATCTTGAGCTGGGGCGAGCGTCTTGCGGCCATGAATTGAATGGTGTAATAAGTTTCTCTCTATCTTCTTCCAATGGTGTGGGCTGCACGCGGCCAATAGAGTCCAACTACTTAACTACCTTACACTTTTACAGGAAAGTTAATTAGTTCATTTACTCTCAATCATACGCTAATGATTACCGTATATATACACTACACTGTATGTATATGGTGTGACAACTGTCAAGGCCACCAACTGTACAATCTTGTGTGTTGCTAGGTGCAGTAGTAGTAGTAAGCAGGAGTAATTATTATTATTGTTATAAGCAGTAGTGGTAGTAGTAGTAATTATAGTTGTTATTGTTAGTAGTAGTCGTAATAGTAGTAGTAGTTGTAGGCGTAGTAATTATTATTGTTAATATTATTAGTATGATGGTAATGGTGATAAAACCCACTCTGCTAGTGATTTTTAGGCGGAGTCAAACCTCCTTAATGAGAGAACAATGACAGTGGCAGGTCCAACACTCCCCCTCCCCCCGTCAACGTACCCAGATCACTGAATGGACAAAAACTTCAACCTCTCGGTTTTTTTCTGAAGGTGATTTAAAGTATAAGAACCACCAGATCAACAAGCTAGATTAATGAATCAAGTGGTTAATTAACTGCTGGTAAATACTGTACCCACTTGGTAGTTATTGTGGTGAACTGGTGATATTGGTTTCGTAAATTGTAATCCCTATTATTAATTTTCAGCTGACCTGCATCGGATGGTCAGCTGGTATGTAAGGTAAAGTTCACTCTTTTACATTATTGGATATGATCATTAAACCTAAAATTCCAGTTAACTTACTATAAAACATAAATCATTATTTATTGAACTATGAATTTATTCTAAAACATTAGTAACAGAAAAAACACTTACTCTAAACGAAAAACATAAGAATAATGAAAATAATGAGTTAATGTAGGACATTACCTCTTCGCCTCTATTGAGAAACATTGGTAGTGATAACAGACGGACACTGGGATGAGACGGAGCAGCACTTGTTGCTTCTAGACGCGCCTTGCACAGACTGTGGGGTGGGAGAGCACTGCCGCCGAGGGAGCTGCGCTTGAACGCTTCATAACAATAGTAGTAGGAGGGGAGGGTGGGGTAGGGGATATCCACAGTCTACCAAAAAAACAGTCAAGACACACAACATGATGGAATTGCCATAGCCATCAAACGAAACATACAACACAAGATACACGACTCATTTCAAGAAAACTTTCTGGCGATCGAAATTAACTGCCCAACAGGACCTATTATAATCGGCACCTGTTACCTCCCTCCGAGAAGACCCATATTCCTAAAAGCAGACTTGCTCAAACTGATGAGAAGAAATATACCAGCATATTTTCTGGGTGACCTAAATGCACGACACCGCGTCTTGGGGCACCAGGATAACAAAGCCGTAGGCAAGATTTTAAACACATTACTGAGTCAGGGCAACGCAATACACCTTGGCCCGGAATTACCCACAAACATCAGAGCAGGTCAAATCGGACATCCAGATATAGTACTAACAAACCAGCATCACCATCTTAACCTGCAATTGGAACCCGGCCCAATAACCACCAGTGACCATCTCCCTATCGTAGCCACACTCTCCACGTCGCCAATACAGATCCCTGCCAGGATGAGATACAGCTACAGCCGGTCCAACTGGGAGGAATTCCAAAAAGAGTTAAACAATCACCAAATCACCCAACTAAACAACAAACACACTTCCCAAATAGGCAACACACTAGAGATATGGTACGAAAACGTGCGCCAAGCAATGGAACACCACATACCCAAGACCACTCACCGTGCATTACCACACCCTCATTACTCACATCAATCAAGAATTCTACAGACACAATTCAGTAATTTATTCAAATTAATCATAGAACAAGGATGGACGCCAGGATACCGAAGACAATATTACACCATACACTAATAACAAAGAAACTTGTCCAAAGAAGCATACGTGAATAACTAGGAGAAACTAATAGCAGACACAGAAGCAATTTACCACAACCCGAAAGAATTCTGGCGGAAAATTAAACACCTAATGGGAATCTCCAGCAGCGAATCAAACTACATTCTAAACAGCAACCAAATCAAATTAACTGAACCCAAAGAACAAGAACCTGAATTCAAGAAATATTGGAGCAAATTTTTTTCAAATATGTCAGGAAGACAACCTGAACTTCTGTATGAACACCGAGCGACAAGTAACCAATCACATGACACACACACAACCCACATCTGGCAACCAAGTCCCAACATAGATATAAACACTCTTGACGATTTTTCCACGCTGATTAAACCAAACACCGCAGAGGAAATACACAAAACAATAAACAGTTTCAAGAACAAGGCCCCATACTACAGTATCTACCATTCAACATGATACTGTGGGGTACGTGATGTTTGGTTCACACTCAGGATGGGATGGAGAAAGGAAACTCACAATGTGCTCTCTGTATACATGTTGTATTGGATGTATAATGCAGCATGGTGCTGGGAAGTGGCAGCGTGGTTACAAGGGTGATGTAGAGAGAGCTGGTTGGTGAGGGTGCTCAGAGGAGGACAGCTTGTGGGTCGCCATGCTCGCCGGCGGGAGCGAGGGCCGCCAGGCAGGAGGAGGAGGAGGTGTTGCTTGCTGGTTAGTGTAGGTAGAAAAGAGTGGTGATGATGATGATGATGATAATGGAGATAAAATGGCAATGGCTTGCCATAGGAAGGGAGAGACGATTTGATTGGCTGTGGTGAAGGCCGCACTAAGAGGTGGCCCGAGCTCAAGGGAACAGGGGAGAGGAGGCTAAGCTAGCTATCAAGGGGTTGTTTGTTATTGTGTTAGTTGGTTGGAGAGGTCTGCTAGGTCCTTGTGTAACTAGTAGAAAACTTTCATCTTTTATCTTATTGACGTCACGAAGTTATTTATGCTGTGGTGTATAATTGTGTAAGCTGGAGAGGTCTGCTAGGTCCTTGTGTAACTAGTAGAATACTCTCATCTTTTGTGTACTATTTAGTGTACAATAGTTCTGGCTCTTGAGGGTTATGGAGAAGGCTTTTTGGCCACCAACTGTGTGATCTTCTGGTGTTCTCTGTTTTTAGTCGATGGTATATTTCGTCTTCCATTACTTCTAATTTGTACCATACTGCCTGTGCTTGGCTGTATGTTCTTATGTTCAGTGGTAAAATATTGTATTTTTCGTGAAGGTCTTTAATTTTGGGTGTGTATGGGGGACGTTGTTTAGAGGCTCTGCGGATGGCTTTGTTCTGTGTTGCCTGAAGTTTTAATTGGTTGGTAAGGCTGATCGTGTTTAATGGTATTGGCGGGTATTCAAGATGGGGGCGGACAAGTGCTTTAAATAGGTGTAGTTGTATTTTCTCTTCCATTTTGCCGAATCTTCTTAATTTGGTAAGCTGTATTTGGGCTAGTCTATTGCGCTCTGTTTTGTGTTTATTTATTCCGGTTCTTGTTATTGTCAGCCCCAGTATTTTTCCTTCGTTTGAGTATTGTATTTCTTCGTTGTTTACTGTGAGTGGTGTTGGGTTTATCCTTGAAATGTGTATGACTAAGTTTCTGTGTATTAGTTTTTATTTTCCATTTCTTCTCGTAATTATTTATTTGTATTATGGCGCGAGCTGTTTTTAATGCCATCATCTGTTTGGCCTTGCCTGGATGGCGGATGATCTGGGTGACATCATCAGCATATGCGATGTATTCACCGTGAATTGGTGGCGGCATGTCTGAGGTGTAGATTGTGTAAAGAGTTGGGGATAAATTACTTCCTTGTGGTACTCCACTATAAAGTCTGAAGCTTGGGCCTTTGTGATTGCCTATTATAATGTGTGCTTCTCTATTGTCCAAGAAATTACACAGTAGAGAAGTGAAGTTGTTAGGGAGTTCTTGATTGGTTATTTTATATTTAAGTCCCAAGTGCCAGACCTTATCGAACGCTTTTGCCACATCCCTTAAAACTATGTTGCACTGTTCTCTATTATGCATTGCGTTTGCAATACTTTCGTATATAAGGGCTATGGCTGTGTTTGTTCCTCTGTGTTTCCTGAATCCGTGTTGTCTAGGGTTGTATTTGTATTCCAGTTCCAGGTGTGTTCTTAATCGGTGGTTAATTATTTTTTCCAAAATTTTTCCCGGTGTTTCTAAGAGAGAGATTGGTCTGTAGTTTTCTACTGCTGTGGGGGCTTTTCCCAGTTTTGGTATCGGTCTGATAATTGCTGTCTTGAATTTCTTTGGGTAGTAGCCTGAAGCTATGGATGCGTTGAATATATTTCTTAATATAAGTACCATGTTGCTTGGTAATTGCTGTAAAATGAGTATTTATTTTGCTGACTCCAGGAGCCTTGTTCTTAAAGCTATTGATTGTTCTTACTATTTCGTCCACCGTGATTGGTTTGTTTAGTGGGGACATGTCATCCAGTGTATTCAGGTCGATCGTGGGTCTCGGTTGCCAAATATGGGTTATTTGCGACATATGGTTGGATACTTCCCTCTCTGTGGTCACGCAAAAGTTTAAGTTTTCTTCGTTGGTGATTTAAAAAATCTTACTCCAGAAAGATCTAAATTCCGGTTCTTGTTCGATTGGCTCTGTTAATTTGGCTTGATTACTATTTATTATATAGTTAGACTCGTTGCTTGAGGTTCCCATTAAGTGCTTTATTTTCTGCCAGAACTGGTTCGGTTTATGGTAGTTTCCTTCCGTTTCTGAAATCAGCTTCTGCCAGTTCCTGTTGTATGCTTCTTTTGATATCTTTTTTAGTTGTTCGTGTATTATGTTGTATATGTTTCTGCGTTCCGGTGTCCATCCTTGCTGTGTGATTAGTTTAATTAGGTTGCTAAATTGTGTCTGTATGATTCTTGATTGGTGTGAGTATTGAGGGTCATGTGGTAATGTTCGGTAAGTGGTCTTGGGTATGTTGTGTTCCATGGCCTGGCTGACGTGCTCATACCATATATCCAGTGATCGGTCTATTAGAGAAGTGTGCCCGTTGTGTAATTGTATGGGTTGCGGGTTATTTAAGTCTTGTTTGAAGTTTTCCCAGTTAGCCCGGTTATAGTTGAATCTTAGCCTGGCCGGGATCTGTATTGGGGCTGTGGAGAGTGTGGCTATGATAGGTAGATGATCACTAGTGGATATTGGGCCGGGTTCGAGTAGTATGTTTAGGTGGTGGTGTTGATTTGTTAACACGAGATCTGGGTATCCTGTGTGGCCTGCTCTAATATACGTGGGGAATTCCGGTCCGAGGTGTACCAGGTTGCCGTGGCTCACTAGTGTGTTCAGGACCCGGCCTACTGCGTTGTTGGTATGGTGTCCTAGTATGCGGTGTCTAGCGTTGAGATCACCCAGAAAGCAAGCAGGTATGTTCCTCCTCATCAATCTGAGCATGTCTGCTATTGGAAAAATTGGTCGTCTTGGAGGGAGGTAGCAGGTGCCAATTATGACTGGACCCGTTGTGCTGTTAATTTCTATTGCCAGAAAGTTTCCTTGGAATGTATCCTGGATTTTATGTTTTATGCTTCTTTTAATTACAATGGCAACTCCATCTTGTAAAGGATATTGGCTGTGTTTTTTTGGTATACTGTGTAATTAAATATCTTTATTTTATTTGAATTATCCCTGCCGTGAGAATTTAGTATGATGACGTCTGGGTCTAGGGTACGATATATGTTGTATAATTCGTGAGCTCTTGTATGTGTCCAGGCCAGGACATTATGTTGAATTATTTTAAGTCTGTTGATTATGAATGGTAATGTCTCGAGTAACCTCTCGCCCACACTCTACACAATATACAAGGCGGACATGCCACCTCCTACACACGGAGAATACATAGCTTATACTGATGACGTCACACAAATCATCCGACATCCAGGCAAGGACAAACAAATGATGGCACGAAAAACAGCTCACGCCATCGAGCAAATCAACGCATATGAAAAAAAATGGAAAATACAAACCAACACACAAACTAAAGATAATTCACATTGCCAAAATAAACCCAGCACCAATCAGTCAACAACGTACCTATACAATATTCCAACGAAGGCAAATTTCT